TCGGTGGCCCCGCATTGCAGCTGTGTCGCTAGGCGGACCGTCAGGCGTGTGAGTATGTATGTATGTATGTATGTATGTATGTATGTATGTATGTATGTATGTATGTATGTATGTATGTATGTATGTATGTATGTATGTATGTATGTATGTATGTATGTATGTATGTATGTATGTATGTATGTATGTATGTATGTATGTATGTATGTATGTATGTATGTATGTATGTATGCATGTATGTATGCATGCATGCATGCATGTATGCATGTATGTATGTATGACGTTGATTACACTGTGGGCTGAAAAACCGGGGGCCCAGGGCCGAAGCACAGCGCGGGGGGCGGGTGCATACGGCTGGTTAGTCTCATGCACTCCGCCCCCGGGTCAGGCCGCACGGGAAACGACGGCCGGCATATGTATGTATGTATGTATGTATGTATGTACGTATCTATGTATGTACGTATGTACGTATGTATGTACGTATGTATGTACGTATGTAGGTATGTATGTACGTATGTATGTACGTATGTATGTATGTATGTATGTATGTATGTATGTATGTATGTATGTATGTATGTATGTATGTATGTATGTATGTATGTACGTATGTATGTACGTATGTATGTACGTATGTATGTATGTATGACTTAGATTACACTGTGGGCTGCGAGAGCCGGGGGCCGAAGCCGAAACACAGCGCAAGGGTCGCGAGCACACAGCACAAGTCGGTTAGTCTTGTGTGCTCCCGACCCCGACTCAGACTGCCAACACTCTACGCAGCCACTCCGCAGCCCCCCCATCCGGGGGTGGCGCTGCATTGAATACACCACGAAGGGCTCTCAGGTCCCGCTAGAGCGAGTCCACAAGTCTCAGCTAAGGCAAAGTCAAAGGCTCTCTGAAACAACCCCCCAAAACACCACCAACGAAAACGGGATTCGAAAGGAAAACAAACAAACAAACAAAAATTCGGTTGGGGCAGTCCCGGCAGGGGAGGGCTCCTGATATACCTAACAGGCCAACAATAACACCTCCAAGAGAGAACGGCTAAGAGAGCTTGACACCACAAGACGTCTTGCAACCACCTTAAAACAACTGACCTCCACCACCTGTCCCTTCCTGGGCTGGTCCAGGGGAGAAGTAGTCTTATAAAGAAAAGGGATCCCGCACAAGCCTGATCACCACTGCAGGGGCCCGGGATAGTCCGGCGAAACCACAAAAGCGTTAGCGTTGCCACGACACACAGCTCCTAGACCCTCCAGAAAACTGCAGGGGGAGGATTGTAGCCCGCGGGGCGCCTCCCCCTTACCGCCACTAACCTGAACGGTTGGTCCTCCGGAAACCTATTCACCCTGTCTCGTACTGCACCGCTCTCACCCTCGTCCCTCACCAAGCAACCCAGTCCCACAGAGAAGACGTGTCTAAATAGAATGGCCCTCCTCGGGCCACATCTCCCCCTCATCCGAGCCCCGCTACCACCACCAGACCTCAACCTCCCAAACACCAGAAAACCTACGTCTTTTTGGCGCTCTCACCGCCATCTCCCCCCTCCCCTGTCCGAGCGACCCCACCTCCCCCCGGCTCTCCAGCACCCTACAACCTCGGAGCGGCACTAGGGAAGAAAAAAGGTTCTTCCCTGCACGACGTGACCGCCTCCATTCCCCGCCCTTCTCCTCTCCCTCTCCCGTCTCGGGGTTCCCTCTCATCTATTCCCTTGTCCTCCAACCCCCATCCCCTTCGAACTCCTATACCCCCCCGAGCCCTGCCCTACAAACTAAGCTCAAAGCGCGCTTAGGCAATAACCTCCACCGCTTCGGCGCACCGCAGTGCGCCTTCTGAAACCGACAGGATCGGGTGGTCGGGTCCCACCCTGTCCCAGCCTCTCCGCGGGGTGCCCAGCGCCGTGAAGGAGCGCAGACGCACCCAGAAGTCCACCACTGCCCGGGCGCGGGCCCGCTCCAAGGGGGTTGCTGCGGGTGCTGCTGCCGCCGCGCCTGCCGTTGCTGCTACCGCCCCTGTCGCCGTGTTCCGCTCCTGTGTTTGGTCCTCATCCCCCGGCGCATTCAGTGCAGGCCCCGTCTGCGGTCCCGCCCCGTCGGTCTGGATGAAAACGTCCGTTATCCGCCTCTGCCTAGGGCCGGGTACCTGCACCTGCTGCGCGTGCTCCCGGTTCTGTGGTCCTTGGCTCCCAGCTCGTTCCTGCCTCCTGCCCGCTGCCCTCAGGCAGCATCTGCCAACCTCCATGGCAGACAGGGCCGACAGGGCGATTATATCCCATACGGCCTGTTCGCATCCGGTTGGGGCCAGTAATAGCCAGAGTTGCTTTCGGGTGACTCCCCCTACCGCCGCTTCCTGAGAAGACTGTAGATGCCGGTCGATCTGTGCCCGCACCGCCTGCGCCACCGGGCATTCCCAAAAGTGATGCATGCGTGGCGAGCATGGCTGACCAGCTGCTCCACCGAATCCGCCACATCCACAGCGTTCTGGAGTCATGCGGGCTAGGTGCGTGTTGCCCGGTAGGGGGACGCCATCCACTGCGAGCCGCCATAACGTCTCCTTATTCTCATTCTCCCATCGTACCCCGGACCATACGCGGGCCTGCGTCGCCCTGAATAGGCTGATTTCCGAGGGGGCCGGCGGCGACGGGCCCTGAGGATCCGTCGCCTCCCGTGCAAATTCAGCTACCAGGCGTCTTCTCCTCTCCTCCATAGGCCCACATAGCAGCTGTGTCGCCAGGCGAACCGTGAGGCGTGCCAACGGGATGGCTTCCGCCATCCCAGGTATACGCCACCCAATTCGCCCAGCAATCATACCCATCGCTTGCATGCTGGTCAGCAGTGGTGCTGGTGACGGTATGACAGCCTCCTCCCCTTCCGTTGCCGCTGCCATCGGTTCCGTTAGCCCCCGCTGCTGCTGTCGCCGGGTCTCAACCGTTCTAGCAGCTTCGAGCCAGGCCGGGTTTATGCTGCTATGCAGCGCCGCGAGGGCTGCCTGGGTCACGGGTTTATCCCGCGTGGAGATCGGGGTAAGCGGGTCGAGGTGAGTCTGGGCCCACTCCAGGGTTGCCAGATCGCTGCTCTCTGCCAGGGTCCAAACCCGCACCAGGTCCCCTACCGTCTGTAGTTTCCTTCAGGTGGCAAGCCCAGGGTATTGGTACTCCAGGCCGGGGCGGCGGCCCCGGTCCGTCGGGACGGTCCTTCCAGCATCGGGGGATAGCGGATTTCCCCATAATGCAGTCGCCCAGCACCAGTCACCGGGTGTCAGCGGGTTGGTCCCGATGTCCTCTGGTGGCGGCAAGTGCCCCAGGGCTCCCACAATCCGGCTGATATCCTTCGGCAGGTCACGAGTCCCAAGCCAGGGCCCAGTTGGGCTCGCGGTTGTCAGGGCCCACGGCTGGAAAGCGGGGTTCGTGAGCAGAAGGTAGGCTGAAAGCGTGCGGACCCAGGGGTGGATACCTCCGCCCACCTGCATATCTGTGTCTGTTGCGCCTGTATCTGATCTCGTGTTGCCTGTTCGCAGCCCTAGGGTTGCGATGACAAAACGAGCTGCCCACACCGCATGCCGGGCTTGGATGTGTTGCCGGAGGGGCAGCAGACCAAAGCCTCCTGTGGATGGGTGACCGATCAGGAGTTCCTTGGGCACGCAAGTCAAGCGTCGACCAGGATCATCCGGGCCTTGTTGGCGGTCGACCAGGCGAGCCGTGAGTCGCTCTATCTCGTCCAGCACGCGGTCTGGGGCCAGTCCGCCATGCTCCATGTGCCAGGTGACCGTCTGCAAGCTATACGCCGACGCCGCCGTTGCCCTTCCAAATGCTGACAGCAAGAAGCGGGACAGACGTATGTCTGATGTATGTATGTGTGTATGTGTGTATGTATATATGTGGATTCTGAGTGGCCGCCACCAGCCACCTGGCACCCGCACGTGCACTTCCTTCCCCCTCCTCTCCCCTCTGTTATCAACTGCATTTGATGATTTGCTGATTCCGCAATCCGTCCTGTGTAAAGGTCCGTCGAGGAACGTTGTCTGTATGCCAAAACATCGCTAGCTGTGTCTAGCCGAAACGACTTCGCGCCCGCCGCCAACTCCGTCGAAAGCCAAAAGCAGGAATCAAGGGGCAAGCTACAGAATGGCCGCCTTATGTAGCAAGTATTTTACTGCAAGAGCCAGTGCTGCATTATGGTCTCAGGCCATCTGATGCCTCAAAGCCTTCATGTCCATTTGGCGCTCCTTTGGCTCCTCAATACCCTTCCTCTCGATGTCACCTCGCACGGCCTCCCCCCCTCCCCCTCCCCCCGACGGGTTCTGTACCGTTCGGATCCTGTCGTACGGTCTGCAGGCACTTGTGGCCAAGTACGGCACAGACTGGGTGGCTGTAGCTGAGGGCTTTGGTGGCCGCTTTGACCGGCACCAGGTTTGTGTGTGCATAGGTGTGCGTGTGTGTGGTTGTGCAAGTGAATGTGCCTTATTGTATTCCACAGAAACGTCCGTACACAATACCCACCTTCCCCCCACATCACCCAATGGTTTCGATGATGACGTCGCGGTAACCCACCAGAGGCAGAATACCTCCTGCATCATCGGACACGGGACTCATAGCCCGTTTTTCTACTTACGAATATTTCTGCTTTTCGTCGTCGTTCCATTGAGCGGCGTTAAGTGTTGAGCTTTTCAATACACACGCAATGCACACGCATACACACTTCCCTCCCCCCCCGGTGTCCCCCGGCGCTAAGGTTCGTGACCGTTGGTACGGCGTCATGACTGCAAGCGGGCCTCGCCGTGTCGGCAAATGGTCCGCGGATGAGGACGCTCAGCTCGTGAAGGTGGGTGGGTGGGTGGGTGTGTGGGTTGGGGGGGAGGAGGGGACACATCCCGCCGAGGGTTCGCTGGGCAGCTGGAGCTTTGGGGAGAGGGGAGGAAAGAGCGATGTGTCCGTCTGTTTGTCTGTTCGTGCATGTGGGTATATATATATATATATATGCCGCAGGCAAACGCAACGTCCACGTCCACGTCCACTTCTTCCCGCAGCCAAGTTCATTAAAATAAATGACGATGCGGAAATCCCGCAATACGACGGACATGATGACGGACACACCGTGCGGTGGCGGACAGCAGCGCGTGGGTCGGCGTGTCTGTGTGGGTGTGAGCCAGGGTTCCCTGGCTGGATCCAACATTGGAACAAACATTTGAATTCTGATGTTGAGGTGGGTAGAGCTGGAAAGGACCGTATCAGTGCAGCTGCTGTCTCCCGGGGGCCACAACACCCTCCACCCCCCCGCACCCCAGGGTGATGTGCATGGGGTTCCAGAGGTTTCCCGCCCCTCCCTACCGTGCAGGCGGTGGACGAGCTGGGGCAGAAATGGACGGCAGTTGCACGCCACGTGGCTGGCCGTACCGCCCGCCAGTGCCGGGAGCGCTACGTCAACCTGCTACAGCCAGGCCTCAAGTTTGGCCCCTTTTTGGGCGGGGCCCCAGCGCGAAGCGCCCAGGGGGGCCCCGACCTGTAGGATTGCCCATGTCCGTGTGTGTGTGTGTGTGTGTGTGTGTGTGTGTGTGTGTGTGTGTGTGTGTGTGTGTGTGTGTGTGTGTGTGTGTGTGTGTGTGTGTGTGTGTGTGTGTGTGTAACGGACCAAACATAATATTTCACCCGGCTGAAACGCGTTATCGGTACTATATAGCATTCTCTATTGCAAGGTATCTCGTTTGTAGCTAACAAAGATCGTATGAGCACAAACAAGTTTAGCTGCCTCCATTCACCGACCTCAAAAGTCACATCAACGCCTCTCGCGCTAAATTTCATCCCGAAAGCTGCCGCGTATCTCATAATGGAATTCTGAGATGACGGCGTATGGTAACTCGAACACCCAGCTTGTGTTACCATTTGCCGGCATGGGCAATCCGACTTGCCACCAGCAGGCCAACAAATTTGCTTTCATTTCTCTATGAAATACACAAGGTGCTTGTTTGTACATTTACTTTGGCCAATGCACGGGGCCTCCGAAGAGTTGCACTCTGCCGCTCTTACTTATCTATTTAGTTATTACAAAGCCATGCGGCAGTGGGGTGCTTTCCTGTAGCCGCTGGTGCTTCAAGACCTAAACATCACAGACAGCACCGGACTTCATATGTTAAGCAACGGCTCCGTTTGCGGTCTGCCGTACTGTCCATGCGGCATGCACCCGGATGTCGATTGCTACCAGCCTGTACGGATGCAGAGGGGCCCCGCCCTTTTTCCGGCTTCCTTGAAGCCGACACCCAACTTGTCGAAGGAGGAGCAGAAGGTAGGTACGAAGTGTGAGAAGAGTTTTACGTACGTTAATAATAATACGGTACATGATAAATATTATTTAACTGTCAACTGCCGAAGCCCCAATAATAATCCCATATTGAGAAAGGGGGAAAGATAGCGGACTGCCCATTATGGCGGGAAATTTGTTTGGTGACCGGCGTAAATGACTTTGATATACTTATTCTTGGCGCGGCTGGTTTGAATTTTCTAAACATATAGAAATATTTGTTTTTTTAGGCTTTAAAATGCTTTTAATTATTAATAACAAAGGAGAAAGGACACAAGTTTTTGTTGAATGGTGATGGTTTTCGTTTGTGTCCACAGGTGCTGGCGGAGGCGTGTAGAGAGCTGCAGGCGGCGTACGGCAGGATCACTTGGGCTCGCGTGGCGGAGCGACTGCCGGGCCGTACGGACGACCAGTGCAGCCGAGCGTACGAAGGGCTGGTCAAACACGACAAGGTATACGACACAGAGCAAGACCGTTGTACTACAAAGCTCGCGCGTCTAGCCAGGTCCCCTCCTCCACCACATATCGGTCCATGCCGGGTGTCCGAAGTTCATCCAATTCGATCCAATCAGCCGCGGTGGTATTCGCCGCGGTGGTATTCACATGGACCAAGAGCAGTTTGGGCATCGGCTTGGGGCAGTGCTAGCGATGGAAAGCTTCAATTTGCACAGAAGTTGCCATATACTGCTATCTCAACAAAACTAAAGACCCAACTTAACTTGTTCTACGTTGCGGTGCCTCAAGAGTGCTCCCGAGCCCGCGCGCCACGGCCCTCAGTACCTCAGCCCTTTCCCGCCGGTTCACTTGTCTTCTCACTAGCAGCCTCTGTTACCCCCCTGCACCCCTCCTTCCCCCCCCCCCCAC